TTCATGGATCGCCACCATTGATTTCTACTTGTCATCTGGCACGTTTTTATCAATTAGACTTCAGTGGACTTTTTTTGCAGTCTTTATTATCTAGCACTGCACTTTTGTTGATATTACTATGTTAAATAAATGGCTGCTATGGCCGGTTTTACACCAAAAAGTGAGCCGCATGGTCATTTAGGTGGGGAAGGATGAAGGGTGGTGGTGGTTTTTATGGATTAGGGGTAAGTATTAGCCTCGATATTCGGCATGTCCATCAGTCATGCAGATCTGATCCATTCTGCGGGGATCGTCGGAGGGGGTGTCACCAAGTGTTATCGCACCAAGTGACACCAACCCTAGGGACGCCCCTGCTAGGATCTGAACACGTATGAGCTTGTCCCTGTCAATGGGCAAATGTAGCCCAGTTTGAATTGCTTCTGACCTGCATTGGCTTGCTTTTGACTTGCTTCAGCTGCTTTTGCATTCTCATAGACTTGCATGGGCAGAGAAGCCGTTCTGAAGACAAAAGCCCATCATCACGGCCCCTTACTAACTTTGCTTTTTTGCACACTCTTGCTTAAAAACTGCAGGGCAAGAGAGATGGCAATGGTGATGAATGTATGCGCCGTTTGCCGCCATTTAGACAGTTTGGCACATGCTAAATTACAGTAACAAATAAAGGTTATTCTCTCCCGCAACATTCTATCTCCCAATTGCATTTTGCAGAGAGCAGTCTTTTGAAAATCTGATGATGGAAGGGACTTGGCTGCAGGAAGAAGTATTGTATGGAGGTGTGTTGGACGGCTCCCAAGTATATGATCTTCATAAATGTCAGAATGTTTGCGGCCTTACATCATTGAAAAGCAATCATGTTCATATCTGCTCTCATAAAAAGACATTTCGCACGGAACAATTTCTTTCTCCTTGTATTGTGTCTTTCAGACGCCGGCTCGTTAAACCGGCCCGATCTATATTTCTGTAATGACACCGTAGCTGCAGAGGGGCACCGAAATATAAAAGGGGATGGGCCGTACAATGAACGGAAAGTGCGGAGACCTGAAAGCGTAAATTATTTTACAAGATAGGGAGATAATTGGGAAGAACGCGGACGCATTATCATTATCTTTTCTGTAATCCACTTAGCATAAGTAAGCAAGATGAAGGAGGCTTTTTTAATCAAAATAAGAGCAGCACTTTAACAGAATTGGCCTTTTCAGATCTTGTTTTGCTTACCTTCTTCTGTTCGCAAAGCATAAACGAGCTGAGAAAAAGTCCAGTGTAAGCTCCATATTGTTGAATATTCACTCCCCACCCTCAGGAGAAGGATCCGCGTGGGCCGGCTTTAATAGAATTGGCTTAGTGATTGGCTTCTCAGGCATCCAGCATTGGCCTTCAGGTGGTTGGAAGGGAAGGGAGTCATATATCCACCCAAATCATGAAAGTAGTAGGTATTTCTCACCACAACCCCAGGAGAACTGAGCCTTGGAGAAATTAAAGAAAGTAGAAGGATCCGCGTAGTGTAGCTCGGGGTTACCGCTTTTGGTACTGACGTTTTACCCCAAGCTACACTCGGGAATACCGCCAGGGAGGTTCAAGGGCCAGGAGGCGCCGGCGCAAAGGGGTTAAGATCGCCCCATAGCAGATGTACAGCTACTGGGCAGCTGCGCTGTGCCAAAATCCCATTAATATACATGATTTTACATTTCCAGGTAGGTGGCACATGCACGCGTGCCGACCTATCCATGCTGTCATTAGCTTCTGAAAATGTCAATCACCAGGTCCCGGCCAGCGATTCATAGTCGTGACTTGATGATCGTCTGAGAAGCTGACAGGAGAGAGATCTGTGAGTGTAAACAACACAGATCTCTCTCCTGTCAGAGGGGCCAGTTTTAATAGAATTGGCTTAGTGATTGGCTTCTCAGGCATCCAGCATTGGCCTTCAGTTGGTTGGAAGGGAAGGGAGTCAAATAGCCACTCAAATCATGAAAGTAGTAAGTATTTCTCACCACAACCCCAGGAGAATTGAGCCTTGGAGAAATTAAAGGAAGTAGAAGGATCCGCGTGGGCCGGCTTTATTAGAATTGGCCTTGTATTTTCTTTTACTTACCTCCCACTTTGTTTTCCCACAGAAATAAGTTGAGAAACATTTGTATCTAAGCCCCTGTCAGAGATGCGGGTGTGACCAGAAGTGTGTGGACTGACACAGGGAAACGTAGGCTTCAGATATAGTAAATAATATAATTTATTTAAGACTAACAATACAAACACAGTGCAAAACTAAACATAACACAGTGCAAACAAACTGAACCAAACCTCCAACAGATAACAAACATACGATACAAGAGTAGTCAGGCAGGCCGGGTCGGTAGCAAACGGGCAAACTGAGTACCAGGAGCAGGCGGGAGAGTGGTCAGGACTAGCCGAGGTCAGTACATCAGGCAGCGTCAGGACAGCAGAAACAGGATCAGGAAACCAGGGCCAAGCAAACGGTACAACAAGGCACAGACTGCAGGTCTGGCCATCCCTTAAATACACCACCTGCAATCAGCCTCAGTTGATGGCTAATTCCCGAAGTGAGCCTCTGGTTGTTGAGAGCACCCGCTGGCCAGCCCTGGTACTGCAGCCCACAAGGCAGGTGAGTCCCACCACTATTGGCAAGTCCATTCCTGACAGCCCCACAGGACTAAATGCTCGCTCCACACCTTCACTTGATAATGCTGGATACCCGGGGGCCAATCGCCAAGCACCAGCTTAGTGATTGGCTTCTCAGGCATCCACCATTGGCCTTCAGTTGGTTGGAAGGGAAGGGAGTCAGCCACCCAAATCATGAAAGTAGTAGGTATTTCTCACCACAACCCCAGGAGAACTGAGCCTTGGAGAAATTAAAGGAAGTAGACGGATCCGCGTGGGCCGGCTTTAATAGAATTGGCTTAGTGATTGGCTTCTCGGGCATCCAGCATTGGCCTTCAGTTGGCTGGAAGGGAGTCAGCCACCCAAATCATGAAAGTAGTAGGTATTTCTCGCCACAAGCCCAGGAGAACTGAGCCTTGGAGAAATTAAAGGAAGTAGAAGGATCCGCGTGGGCCGGCTTTAATAGAATTGGCTTAGTGATTGGCTTCTCAGGCATCCAGCATTGGCCTTCAGTTGGCTGGAAGGGAGTCAGCCACCTAAATCATGAAAGTAGTAGGTATTTCTCACCACAACCCCAGGAGAACTGAGCCTTGGAGAAATTAAAGGAAGTAGAAGGATCCGCATGGGCCGTCTTTAATAGAATTGGCTTAGTGATTGGCTTCTCAGGGATCCAGCATTGGCCTTCAGCATTGGCTGGAAGGGAGTCAGCCACCCAAATTATGAAAGTAGTAGGTATTTCTCACCACAACCTCAGGAGAATTGAGCCTTGGAGAAATTAAAGGAAGTAGAAGGATCTGCATGGGCCGGCTTTAATAGAATTGGCCTTGTATTTTCTTTTACTTACCTCCAACTCTGTTTGCCCTCAGAAATAAGTTGAGAAAAAGTTGTATGTAAGCCCCACAGGGATAAATACTCGCTCCCCACCCTTACTTGACAATGTTGGATACCCGGGGGGCCAATTACCAAGCACCAGCTTCTCGAATGGCTTCTCAGGCATCCAGCATTGACCTTCAGGTGGTTGGAAGGGAAGGGAGTCAGATGGCCACCCAATTCGTGAAAATGGCAGGCATTTCTCATTAGAACCCCAGGAGAACTGAGCCTTGGGGAAATGAAAGGAAGTATAAGGATCCATGTGGGTCGGCTTTAACAGAATTGGCCTTGCTGGATTTTCTTGTACTTACCTCCCACTCTTTTTGTCCACGGAAAAAGTTTAGAAAAAGCTGTATGTAAGCCCCACAGGGCTAAATACTCACTCCCCACCCCCCACTTGACAATGCTGAATACCTGAGGGACCAATTGTCCAGCACCAGTTTGGCAACTGAACTCTCAGGTATCCAGCATTGCCCTTCCAGTGTTTAGAAGGGAAGGGAGGTATTGGTTAGCACATCTCCAGGAGAAATGAACCTTGGGGGAGTGAAGCGAAATATAAGCATCCGCACGGGCCGGCATTAAATGATCCTGTTGCTTTGTTCTGCATTTTTTTAGGTTTCGGTAAGCCTGGTCAGAGTTAGAACATTGTCTTCATTTTCATTCCTATCTGCATCTCTGTTAGGGAGATTTCCTGTCACTGTCCTGATTACACAGAAGGAAGGCAAACAACATTAAAATAGAAAAAAGGTTGTGCTATAATTACATTAAAAAAAAAACTGTATAGAGACCATATACTAATATAACTAATATTTAGAATTTTGATATAAAACATATATATATATATATATATATATATATACACACACATTTACATATAAATATATATATATTACACATTTTAAAATTTTAGAAGAAAAGCAGTCGATATTAAAATACAAAATAGGCAGTGCTATATTTAGAAAAAATACAGCGACCAGCTACGAATATAAATAATATTCAGACTTCTAATAAAAAACATTTACTTGTGAAAATGAACATATATACATGCAGTGTGCATATATATATATATATATATATATATATATATATATATATATTTATATATATCTTTATAAAAATAATATAATAATAATAATAATAATACTATAAATAAAATAATAAATAATAAATAAAAAAAATAAATTTATATTATATATATATATATATATATATATATATAATTTATTTATTTTAATTACATTCTTAAATGTCATTACTTGATTTTATATATATAATTTTATTTTATTTTTTTTACACATTTTAAAATTTTAGAAGAAAAGCAGTCGATATTAAAATACAAAATAGGCAGTGCTATATTTAGAAAAAATACAGTGACCAGCTACGAATATAAATAATATTCAGACTTCTAATACAAAACATTTACTTTTGAAAATGAACATATATACATGCAGTGTGCATATCTATATCTATATATATATAATAAAAATAATAATAATAAAAATAATAATAATAATAATAATAATAAAATAAATTATATATATATATATATATATATATATATATATATATATAAATGATTATTTATTATTATTTATTTTAATTACGGTTTTAAATGTTATTACTTAAATTTAACAACAACAAAAAAAAATCACAAAAGTTGGTATTATTTTTAAAAACCATCCTTGAGCTGCAGTCCAGTTATATTGCCCAGGCTGAAATTATGACATGATGTATATTGTAAAGCGCTGAGCAAACTGCGCTATATAAATCCTGTATTATAATAATAATATTAATAATAATAATAAAAAGATGATGACATCGGTTTGCTGCAGTTAGGAGGAAGCATTTCCTCTATTACTTCCTACCTCAGTGATCAGACTGCAACATTATCACTTTGTAACAAGTTTTCAGGCTAGAGGCTGCAGCAGGGGCTGATCTGTGTCAGACATTTGTGAACTCAGCCAAGAGCTGACTAGGAACCAGGATTTACACGACTGCGTCATCTCTGAGCCGGCATCTGAATAGATGGTGACCATGGATGATGCCTGAAGAAAGAGGGCCCCGTCCATCTGAGGAGAAAACCAGGTGAAGGCGTTGTGATCTCTGTGAATGGTAATAAATACCTGGAAGTGTTACACATTACTCAGCATGTGTGAAGCTAACATGAACATATATCTGCGGCTTGGTTCACTTAATAGGAGCGCTGTCACAGATGCCATACATATATCTAACAGCAATAAATCAGTACATTTGTTATAAAACCAAATAAGGAGACAAAAGGACAGATCATTCCTCCCCGGCTCCAAGCGCAGGACTTGGTGTCATAAGATTTATTGGTATGGCGCTGTGCCGGTTGTCAGGTGCCACCTGTGCAGTCATGTATTATTATTCTCGGCTGCTCTGCTCACAGCGGACTGTCAGCCCCGCTCTCAGGAAGGCCGGCACCCGAACACCTTATCTCATTCCCTTGGAGGGACTTGTCCTTTTCAGGAAATGTGCTTTTATGTCTGAATTGTCTTAGGCCCCTTCACACGGCGCTCTGGTTTTTTTTATCAGTCCAGTCACATTGTTTTGAAGAAAAAACGGATCAGTTTACATCCATTTTTCATCCGGTTTACATCTGTTTACGTCTTTTTACATCTGTTTATATCAATTTAGGTCTGTTTACACATTTACATCCATTTTTATATTTTTACATTCTTTTATGTCTGTTTACATTTGTTTTACAACCGTTTATATCCATGTACATCTGTTTACATCTGTTGCATACGTTTACATCTGTTTACATCTGTTTACGTCTGTTTACATCTGTTTACATTCCATTTTACATCCATTTACATCCGCTTACATCTGTTTACGCCTGCTTACATCAATTTACATATGTTTACATCTGCGTCTGTTTACATATGTTTACATCCATTTACATCTGTTTACATCCATTTACGCCTGTTTACATCCATTTTACATCCATTTACATATTTGTACATCCGCTTACATCTATTTTACATCCATTTACATTGTTTACATCTGTTTATATTAATTTACATACGTTTACGTATGTTTACATCCATTTACCTCTGTTTACGTCTGTTTACATCAGTTTACACCCATTTACATCCATTGACATCAGTTTACATCCATTTTACATCCGTTTACATCCATGTTTACATTCGTTTACATCTATTCTACATCCATTTATATCCGTTTACGTCTGTTTACATCCATTTACATCAGTTTACTTCTGTTTATATCCATTTACATCCAATCAACATCCGTGTTCATCTATGTACATCCGTTTAAGTAGGTTTACATCCATTTACATCCATTTTACATCCGTTTACATCCATTTACATCCTTTATGTCTGTTTACATCCGTTTACATCTGTTTACATCCATTATGTCTGTTTGCTTCCGTTTACGTCTGTTTACATCCATTTACATCCGCTTACATCCATTTACATCTGTTAATGTCTGTTTTCACCCGTTTCCATCAATTTTACATTAGTTTTTCATCCATTTACATCCATGTATGTCTGTTTGCTTCCGTTTACGTCTGTTTACATCCATTTACATCCGTTTACATCTGCTTACATCCGTTTACATTCATTTTACATCCATTTTACATCCATTTACATCCGTTTACATCTGTTTACATTCATTCTACATCAGTTTGTCATCCATTTACATCCATTTATGTCTGTTTGCATCCATTTACATCCATTCTACACCCGTTTTGCACCCGTTTACGTCGGTTTACATCCATTTTTAATCTGTTCCGGTTATTTTTTACGGAAGAAAAGCAGGGCTTTTACACACGGGCATTCTGTATGTCCATTTTTCATGTGTCCATTTACAATTTACGGATGCAAAATGGACACCCATGTATTTCTATGGACTAGTGGATGTAAACAGATTATCATCTGTTTACATCCGTTAACCACTCGCCCTCCAGAGGATTCCCCCCCCCCCTTCCTGACCAGGCCATTGTTTGCGTTGCGGCGCCGCATTACTTAATCTGACAATTGCGCAGTCATGCAACGCTGCACCCAAATGAAATTTACGTACTTTTTTTCCAACAAATAGAGCTTTATTTCGGTGGTATTTGATCACCTGTGTGTTTATATTTTTTGTGCTATCAACAAAAAAAGACTCACAATTTTGAGAAAAAGACAATATTTTGGACTTTTGGCTGTTAAACGTGTCCAGTAAAAAAAAAATTTCAATTCAAATTTCGTCATAAATTTCACCCAAAATGTATTCTGCTCCGTGTCTTTGCTAAAAAAAAATCCTGATAAGTGTCAATTAATTGGTTTACGTGAAAGTTATAATGTCTATAAATGGCGGTATAGAGACTGGGATTTTTTATTTTGCTTTCCTACTAGTAATGGTGGCGATTAGCGACTTTTAGTGGGACTGCGGCGGACATTCTGACACTGGGGGGGGGGGGGACTAACGTGGTGTCACTGACATACAATACAGACAGTGATCAGTGCTAAATAATAAAAGCACTGAGGCAGGAAGGGGTTAACATGAGGGGCAATCAAAGGGTTAACTATATGTAGGGAGTGTTTTACTAGGGGGGCTGTGTGTTGGTGCTTCACTGTAAGCACACTGATGGGGATGGTTGTGCTGTGCACAGCCATCCTGAGCAGTGTGCCCTGAGCTGACAGGGAGGAAGACTGTAAACAAAACAGTCTTCCTCCCAGTCAGAAATGCTCGGTAATTACCGGGTGCCAGTAAGTAATTACCGGGTGGGGCTCAGTGATTGACAACCACGGCCCATGCCGTCCTGTAGCAGTATTTCTGCTATAGGGCGGTCGGGAATCGGTTAATGACCACATTCGTTAACGTCTGTTTTTTTGAACGGAAGAAAACCCTATTTTTCTACCGTCAAAAACAAATGGAACGGACAAAAAATGGATGTAAACAGACAAAATATGGATGTAAAGGTATTAAAAACGGATGTAAAATGGATATTAATGGAAAAAAAAAGGTTTTAAAAAACAGATGTAAATTGATGAAAAAATGGATGTAAACTAATGAAAAATGGATGTAAACTGATGAAAAAACTGATGTAAATTGATGAACAACGGATGTAAACTGATGAAAAATTTATTTAAAAAAAACAGATGAAAAAAACTGATGTAAACTGATGAAAAACGGATGTAAACTGATGAAAAAACTGATGTAAACTGATGAACCACGGATGTAAACTGATGAAAAAACTGATGTAAACTGATGAACAACGGATGTAAACTGATGAAAAAACTGATGTAAACTGATGAAAAACGGATGTAAACTGATGAAAAAACTGATGTCAACTGATGAACAATGGATGTAAACTGATGAAAAAACTGATGTAAACTGATGAACAACGGATTTAAACTGATGAAAAACGGATGCAAACTGATGAAAAACGGATTTAAAAAAAAATGGATGAAAAAAACGGATGTAAACTGATGAAAAACGGATGTAAACTAATGAAAAATCTGATATAAACTAATGAAAAAACGGATGTAAACTAATGAAAAATGGATGTAAACGGATGAAAAAACGGATGTACACTGATGAAAAAACTGATGTAAACTGATGAAAACGGATATAAACTGATGAAACACGGATGTAAACTAATGAAAAACTGATATAAACAGATGAAAATGGATGTAAACTGATGAAAAAACTGATGTGAACAGATAAAAAAATGGATGTAAACTGATGAAAAAGCTGATGTAAACTGATGAAAAACGGATGGAAACTGATGAAAAATGGATGTAAACTGATGACAAAAATTATGTAAACTGATGAAAAACGGATGTAAACTGATAAAAAAAAACTGATGTGAACTGATGAAAAAATAGATGTAAACTGATGAAAAACGGATGCAAACTGATGAAAAAATGAATGTAAACTGATGAAAAAACTGATGTAAAGTGATAAAAAAAACAAATGTAAACTGATGAAGAAACTGATGTAAACTGATGAAAAACTGATGTGAACTGATGAAAAAATGGATGTAAACTGATGAAAAACGGATGTAAACTGATGAAAAACGGATGCAAACTGATGAAAAAAAATGAATGTAAACTGATGAAAAAACTGATGTAAAGTGATAAAAAACAAATGTAAACTGATGAAGAAACAGATGTAAACTGATGAAAAGCGGATGTAAACTGATGAAAAAACTGATGTAAACTGATGAAAAAACTGATGTAAACTGATGAACAATGGATGTAAACTGATGAAAAAACTGATGTAAACTGATGAACAACGGATGTAAACTGATGAAAAACGGATTTAAAAAATGGATGAAAAAACGGATGTAAACTGATGAAAAACGGATGTAAACTGATTAAAAAACTGATGTAAACTAATGAAAAACGGATGTAAACTAATGAAAGATCTGATATAAACTGATGAAAATATAATCATTGGTGTCATGAAAAATCATTGGTGATGGGAGGAATAGTGCCTCATCATTGGGTGTCAGTGGGAGGAATAGTGCCTCATCATTGGTGTCAGTGGGAGGAATAGTGCCTCATCATTGGTGTCAGTGGGTGGAACAGTGCCCTAAAGAATAGCTTTGTCAGTTTTTTTTTACTTTTTTTTTTTTTTTGCTTGTTTCCAAAATGTGTCTTCACTTCCTGTCCTAGAGACAGAGCAGGAAATAAGAGGAGATCTCTCCAAACCTTGGGGATACCTCCTTTTAAATCGATGTCACCAGACTATGTTCACACATTGGAAGACACCCCCTTACTGTTTCACCAATCCAGGTGACTAGGGGACCTTTTACAATCACACCGCACACATCAAGGTTGCATTGCATTGAACTAGAAGGGCCCGTTCACACAACAGCATCAAAAACTGGATGTGAAGCATCGCACCACAACACAGTACTGTGCACTGCCATGCATTGTGGCGTGCTGCCACGCCGTTGTGCTGCCTTGGTACCTTGGGGTGCCATTCAAAGTCCATGGCGCCACATCGCAGTAATGGGCAGTAATGGGCCCTAATGTGTAAATCGGAGAGTTGAAATCATTTTCAGAATCTCATCTGATGATATTTATTCCACACAGAGTCGTTTTACAGTGAACAGCGAATTGCAACGTTAATGAAAATCCTTTCCGATGAGATTCTTTACCAGATGCATACTTACTGCTATTACAGCTCTTCGCATTAGCATTACCACTAGCCTCAGGAATTTGTACTCCTCATCATGCAAGGTCAAGATATAGAGGACAAGACGTTATTTAGTCTGCAGATAAAACGAAAACCAAGAGATTGCTGAGCAAGCTTGTAAGAGAATGGCTCTCAACGTAACAAACCTATCGGGGACTTTACAAATCTGCATGAACACATTTCTGACATGTTATAATATACATGTAGTACTACCCAGGGGCGGACTGACCATTTGGAAACTCCTGCACTGCCCGAGGGCCCGGGGTCAGTAGGGGGCCCCATGAGATGCCCCTGGTACCTTTTTCATAGGCTTTTTTGAGTTTGGGCAAGGACACAGGGGGTCCCATGAGTTGTCAGTCCGCCCCTGGTTCGTTAAGTTTTTGGGTCCCCCTGAGGTCCTGCACAGCCAGCCAACACACATCTTCTTCCTCCACACTTGCACACGGAGACAGTAACCAGTCCTTAGGCTTGTTTTTGGGATTTTATTAACCACTTGCCGTCCGCCTGCTGTTTATAAACGGCAGGACGGTGGCACTCCAGGGGCAGGTTGCCGTTCATAAACGGCACCCGCCTTTTCTAGCTGTGCGCGCTCCTTGGAACTCCCTTGGAACTCCCTTGGAACTTTTAACCACTTCCCGACCGGCCGTTGTATATAAACGGGTCTGACGGTGGCACTGCAGGGTCGGGGTGGGCGTTTATAAACGGCCTCCCCGCACCCTGCTTCTGAGTGCTCCCCGGGAGCGCGCATCACCGCGATCCGGTGCCCGCTGTGTCCTCCGGACACAGTGGAACACCGATCGTTGGACAGGACCTCTGTACGAGGTCCCGATCATGTGATCACTGATTGGCCAATCAGTGATCACATGCAAAGTAGTAAGCAAGATGTCACTTGTGACATCATTGCTTACTACGTGTGAAATCTGTGAATGATCACAGAGGTCACATGGTACAAGCCTATTCACAACAGCCTTGTACCATGTGACAAGGTGTGACCAATCACAGCTCACTCAGTAGTTCTCAATGGCTGCAAGAATGCAGACAGAGAGAAAGAGAAACTATTGCTTTTACATCCTATATGGGTGTAAAAGCAATCACTGTAAAAAAAAAAAAATCTTCATCACCCCCCACAAGTAGTACAGTATCAACATGGTGACACTGTACTGCTAGGGTGACAGTATGTAAAAAAACAAAACAAAACATAATAATATAAAAAAAAAAAAAAAAAAATTTAATTTTTTTTTTTTAAAAATTATAATTTTTGGTTATAAACTAATTTGGCTTATTTTTTTTTTTTTTTTTACTAAAAATATAACGGAATACATTTTGGTCAAGATTTATGATGAAAGATTATTTATTTGCAAAATTTTATAAGAAAAACACTTTTTTTTTCAAAATTTTTGGACTGACCATTTGGAAACTTGGGCACTGCCCGAGGGCCCGGGGTCAGTAGGGGCCCCATGAGATGCCCCTGGTACCTTTTTCATAGGCTTTTTTGAGTTTGGGCAAGGACACAGGGGCCCCATGATCCCTTATTGCCCAGGGGCCCCATGAGTTGTCAATCCGCCCTTGCTTCTAACATTCTGCTAAACCTTTGTGAAGTAGTACTGCCTGGACCTTGAAGAAAGGGACATACCCTGAAAGCTTGTCCTCAAAATTGTATGTTAGTGCAAATAAAAAAAGTATCACGGACAGTACTCAATTGTTTTTACCCCTTAACCACTTCCAGTCCGGACACTTTCACCCCCTTCCTGCCCAGGGCAATTTTCAGCTTTCAGCGCTATCACACTTTGAATGACAATTGCGCGGTCATGCAACACTGTACCCATATGAATTTTTTAGCATTTTTCTGAGACAGATAAACCTTTATTTTGGTGGTATTTATTCACCGCTGGGATTTTTATTTTCTTTTGCTATATAAATGAAAAAGTCCAAAAATTTTGAAAATAAGTGTTATTCTTATAAAATTTGGAAAAAAAAATTATATTTCATCACATATCTTGGCCAAAATTTATTCCGTTATCTTTTTACATTTTTATTTTTATTTTTTTTATTATTATTTATGTTTTTTTTTTTTAAAATACTGTCACCCATGGTGACACTGTACTACTTGTGGGGGGTGATGAAGATTTTTTTTTTGTTTACACTGATTGCTTTTAACCCATAAAGGATGTAAAAGCAATCATTTCTCCTTCTCTCTGGCTGCATTTTTGCAGCCATTGAGAAATGCTGTGTGAGCTGTGATTGGTCACAGCTTGTCACATGGTACAAGGCTGTTGTGAATAGCCTTGTACCCAGGGGCGGACTTACCATTTGGAAACTCAGGTACTGCCCGAAAGCCAGGTGTCAGTAGGGGGCCCCATGAGATGCCCCTGGTACCTTTTTCATAGGCTTTTTTGAGTTTGGGCAAGGACACAGGGGCCCCATGATCCCCTATTGCCCAGGGGCCCCATGAGTTGTCAGTCCGCCCCTGCTTGTACCATGTGACCACTGTGATCATTCACAGATTTCACACGTAGTCAGCAATGATGTCAGAAGTGACATCTTGCTTACTACTCTGCATGTGATCACTGATTGGTCAATCAGTGATCACATGATTGGGACCTCGCACAGAGGTCCCGTACGACGATCGGTGTTTCACTGTGTCCAGAGGACACAGCGGGCACCGGATTGCGGTGTAACGCGCAGGGGCGGACTGACCATTTGGAAACTCGTGCACTGCCCGAGGGCCTGGGGTCAGTAGGGGGCCCCATGAGATGCCCCTGGTACCTTTTTCATAGGCTTTTTTGTGTTTGGGCAAGGACACGGGCCCCATGATCCCCTATTGCCCGGGGGGCCCCATGAGTTGTCAGTCCGCCCCTGGCTGCACGCTCCTAGGGAGCGTGCACAGCTTGAAAATGCGGGCGCCGTTTATGAACGGCAACCCACCCCTGGACTGCCACCGTCCGGCCGTTTATATACAGTGGCCAGATGGCAAGTGGCTAATATGCACACCAGTAGCGGTTCGCATGAACGGGGTGCGATTCTGATGCGATGCGCAATTTGCACTGAAAACACTGTGAATTCCGCACCGCATCAGTGTGAACCCGGGCTGAGTGGTATTTGCACAGTTGACAATTTAAGAAGCTCCTGTTCTGCAGAGAGGTTGAAGCACCAATGAAGAAGGACCATTGTATATGCAAATTCCTCTGGTAATGAGATTTCCGAAATTCAGGTTCACCAGCACTGCACCCAAGGTTACATTTTCCTAATTGGATTATACAAACCGCACGCTGCAGAAATGAGACCAATGTAATATTAATTTTCTAATTGGTGCCTGCACATTCCTTCGACATGAAATGATGGAATTAATTGAATGATCGTGGCAGGTAGCTGCCCGCCGACGTAATTTAATTTGGCTTTTTCATCGCCTGGTAAGAGAATCGGTCATGTCATCATAATTCGATGATTAGGCATCAAATCTTTTCCCTCTCAAACCCCATAACGCGGGGGTGATGAAGTTATCAGCGGCGCTACGAAGGGTTTATGTTAAACACTCTCTAACGATATTATTTCTCACTTGCCGGATCATCACGCCGTAACAAGTTCAATGATCATTTGTAGCACTCGAAATCGCAAGTCAAGGACATCGAAGGGAAATTGTTCCCTGCTGCAACATTGTTTCATACAACATCTCGGAAACGGTCCCATAATGGCCATTTTTAGTGGACCATACATCAGGTTCGTTCATTGAAATACTGGATCTTCACTTAAAAAAGCAGCTCCGGGGATCAGGAGAAGATTGCTGAAACGTGAATACTCTCCAGGAAGTATTGGAACTAGGCTAAAGTCAGGAGGCTTGTTTGGTTTAACCCCTTCACACCTAAGGGTAAAGCAAATTGTAACGCCTAAGAAAAATGTTACACCTTTATTCTCTCTTGAGAAGAGGAGATTAAGGGGGATATGATCACCATGTATAATACATAAGGGGGGATATGATCACCATGTATAATACATAAGGGGGGATATGATCACCATGTATAATACATAAGGGGGGATATGATCACCATGTATAATACATAAGGGGGGGATATGATCTCCATGTATAATACATAAGGGGGATATGATCTCCATGTATAATACATAAGGGGGGATATGATCTCCATGTATAATACATAAGGGGGATATGATCACCATGTATAATACATAAGGGGGGATATGATCACCATGTATAATACATAAGGGGGGATATGATCACCATGTATAATACATAAGGGGGGGTATGATCTCCATGTATAATACATAAGGGGGGATATGATCTCCATGTATAATACATAAGGGGGATATGATCTCCATGTATAATACATAAGGGGGGATATGATCTCCATGTATAATACATAAGGGGGATATGATCACCATGTATAATACATAAGGGGGGATATGATCACCATGTATAATACATAAGGGGGGATATGATCACCATGTATAATACATAAGGGGGGATATGATCTCCATGTATAATACATAAGGGGGGAGGATATGATCACCATGTATAATACATAAGGGGGGATATGATCACCATGTATAATACATAAGGGGGGGGGATATGATCTCCATGTATAATACATAAGGGAGGATATGATCTCCATGTATAATACATAAGGGGGGATATGATCTCCATGTATAATACATAAGGGGGGGATATGATCTCCCTGTATAAATACATCAGTGGTTCATATAGTGAACTCGGTGTAGAGTTATTCACCCTGAGGTCATCACAGAGGACAAGGGGGCGCTCTTTACATCTGGAGGAAAAGAAATTTAATCTCCAAATACGGAAAGGTTTCTTCACAGTAAGAGCTGTGAAAATGTGGAATAGACTCCCTCAAGAGTTGGTTGTGACCAGCTCAGTGGATTGCTTTAAAAAAAGTCCTGGATTCTTTCTTGGATATACAGAATATAACTGGATATAACATTTATAGGTAAAGTTGATCCAGGGAATATCCGATTACCTCTCGGGGATCAGGAAGGAATTGTTTTCCCTGCCGAAGCAAATTGGATCATGCTTTGCTGGGTTTTTTTTTGCCTTCCTCTGGATCAACTGTGGGTATAGGATTATAACTTTTTTTTTTTATGGTTGAACTGGATGGACTTTTGTCTTTTTTCAGACTAAGTAACTATTTAACTGTACATAAATTAAATTTGTGTCCTTTTTTTCCCCACAAATGGAGCTTTCTTTTGGTGGTATTTGATTGCCTGTGTGTTTTTTATATTTTTGCTCTATATACAAAAAAAGACTGACAATTTTGAAGAAAAACAACATTTTTGACCTTTTGCTATAAAACATATCCAATAAAAAATGTAGAAAATCAAATTTCTTCATAAAAATTTAGGCCAAACTGTATTCTGCTCCGTGTCTTTGCTAAAAAAATAATCCCAATACATGTAAATTAATTGGTTTACGTGAAAGTTATAGCGTCTACAAATGGTGGTATATATACTGGCATTTTTTTTAGATACTACTAATGGCGGCGATCAGCGACTTTTAGCGGGACTGCGGTGGCCATTCTGACACTGGGGGGAGGGGGGGGGCGGTGTGACTTATAGTGGGACTGCAGGACTGTGGCAGGCATTCTGACACTGGTGGGGGAACTGATTTGGTGTCACTGACATCCCCAGTGACACCAATACAGTGATAAGTGCTAATAAAAAGCACTGACACTGTACTAATGGCACTGGGCAGGAAGGGGTTAACATTTGGGGCAATCAAAGGGTTAACTGTGTGTGTTTTACTAGGGAGACATGCTGTGCAGAAAAATACACAGCAGCATGTCCTTGCTGGCAGGAGAGAGACCTGTGTTTGCATACAGGTCTCTCCCCTGTCAGCTTTTCACCGACGATCGCCGAGTGCCATCCAGGAATCGCCAGCCAGGACCCAGTGATTGACATATCTAGCCACCAATACCGGTGCGGGTAGAGTGCGGCGTGCGCGCTCCCCCTAACCGGAAATGCAAATCACGTATACATACGTGATTTTGCGCAGCCCTGCTGCCCTGTAGCAGTACTTCTACTATAGGGAAGAGGGCAAGCGATTAAATAGCACAAAAAAGGATACAGTACATGTCCCGATCTGACCTTCCCCACCCCATCCTCCACATTGGGGCTACGATGGAATGTCAGTGAGTGGTCCCAGCTATTATGATGATGGTTCCCTGAATGTAGTTGTTAATGTGATTTATGAGTTGTTACCAGGGGTGGACTGACAACTCATGGGGCCCCCAGGCAATAGGGGATCATGGGGCCCCTGTGTCCTTGCCCAAACTCAAAAAAGCCTATGAAAAAGGTACCAGGGGCATATCATGGGGCCCTTACTGACCCCAGGCCCTCGGGCAGTGCCTGAGTTTCCAAATGGTCAGTCCGCCCTGATTGTTACCCTCTTACTGCTCCAGATTTTCCTTATTATACAGCACATACAGATTTTTCGGCACTCCCTCTAGTGTGCCCCATTGTGCGGGCATATTGTGCCGCTGCCAATGCTAGTCCAGAGAAGTGATTGCAGGCATTGCTGTAGACATGACGTGGCCGGAAGAGGCTGCAGGAGATTGGTGTCACTGATGATAAAAAGGAACAGAAGTGTAACCTGGCTCATGCCCTGCAGAACATGCTTCCCGGAGATGACTTGTTGCTCCCTCTCTGTGATTGGTGGGCAGTGTTGGAGGATGTCCTTAGTACAGAAGATGCATGGGCCATTTTGGAGGACCAACTGCTAAGGAAGACTTCTATTGGCTGCAGCCACAGTCTTGGCCCTGACGAAGTATACCATACAGAGGAACAGTGTGTGATGAACAGACTGCAGGTTATTTTATTTTTATGTCAGGTACATATATAGCACCGTCAATTTACACAGCACTTTACATATACAGGCGTACTTCAGTTTACGAATTGAATGCGTTTCGTATTACAAAAAAATTGTAAACCGAAATACGGTTTCCCATAGGAGTGCATTGAAAACCAATTAATCCGTTCTGGAGGTCAGAAAAAAGTTTTGAAAAAAAAAAGTATTTTATCTGTTCAAAACTCTTTATGAAGTGCACTTTAACCGCTTCCATACCGGGCACTTTCACCCCCTTCCTGCCCAGGCCAATTTTCAGGTTTCAGCGCTATCACACTTTGAATGACAATTGCGCGGTCATGCAACACTGTTTGTTTCTGTTATAAGAGTTTGCAAATAAATAATTGTTCTTCATAAATTTAGGCCGAGATGTATTTTGCTACGTCTTTGGTGAAAATAACCCAAATAGGATATATTATTTAGTCTGGGATTTATATGAAAATTGATCAATCTTGAAGTACTGACGACCATTCTAATTACTGAAGTCAAAGAATGTCAGAACAGTACAGCTATCCCCCAAATGTCTGGACAGTACAGATATCCCCCAAATGTAAGGACAGTACAGATCTCCCCCAAATGTCAGGACAGTACAGATATCCCCCAAATGTCAGAACAGTACAGATATCCCCCAAATGTCAGGACAGTATAGATATCCCCCAAATGTCAGAACAGTACAGACATCCCCCAAATGTCAGGACAGTACAGATATCCCCCAAATGTCGGACAGTACAGATATCCCCCAAATGTCAGGACGGTACAGATATCCCCCAAATATCAGAACAGTACAGAT